GAAGATGCTTGCAGATTTGACCGCTAAACTGAATGAGGAGGCAGAGAGAAGAGTTCAGTTGCAGCAAGCGGTGGATAAGCTTACTAACCTGGTGACGCAGGTGTGACTGTCATCTGCTGCATCCAGTGCCGATGCTCGCTCAGGATCAGTGCTGCTGGTGAGTGAATAATTAGGGAAGAAACAAATGTGTGTCAGGTTTTTGTTTATGTGATTTGTATTCTTTTCTACAAATAAATAATGTCACATATTCCTCAGCTTTGAGGGTTAAAGGCAGTGGCCGTCTTTTATAAAGATAAGTTTTTACATTTTGCTAGCACAGTAGCTGAGTAATGGGGAGAGGTATTTGTGATTGTAATATTGGAGAGATATGTTAATGGAAAATGATATCCGTTGTTGGGGGACCAGAAATATTTGTGTTTCTCTCTGTTATCTTCATTTTGTTTTAACTTCTGTTGTGTCACGCTTTCCAGTGCCGCAGCTGTAGAGGTGGTTTGAGTATAGACTTCACCACGACATATGTTCTCCACTGTGCCATTAAACTCTGTGAATGTTATGCCAGTGAGTGAATGCTTACATACAAATTGTCTCTACTTGTGATTTGTAGTGAATAAATGTGCCGTAAGTACAGCATAACAGGGTTTTGTGAATGGCGAGTATCAGTCTTTTCCTGTTGGTTATGGTTGGCAATAAAATCTTTGCCCACAGGAAGAATGGAAAGTTGTATTGTCCAGAATATATTCTATGTGAAAGAGATTTTCATTGTGAGTTTTATTGATCATTGGGCTCTTAGGTAAGTAGTTCGGTTAGCAAATAAGTATTTGATTGTGATTTAAAAATGGGCCAAATCTCATTTCTTCATTTCTGTTTTTTTTCTGTCCCACTACACCCCATGTAGGAGCATGGGGGGAGTGGAGGTATAGCTCCTACTCTTTCTTGACCTTGGCACTAGATGGGGTGAGTGGTCAGCATCACGCTCCGAGTATATATGTTATGGCTCATATATTAAGAATTTAGGATGTCTGTTTTGAATGGGTATTTTTTGTTCTTTTTGTTGTTAACCTTAGTCCATCTGTGTGGATACCGGAATGGTGTTTCAAATAAACAGTGTCCATTTACTCCTTCCAAATGACTGTTCGTAATCACTGATATCTGCAGGTGCAGATTGGAAAACCTCATAAAATAAAAATATTTTCCAAAGTCTTCCCTTTTTATCAGTGACTGTGCGCTCATTGTGCACACTCATAAATGGACCGTTCTTTACAGGCAATACTCATTACATTGGGCTTCTACTGTATTTGATGTACACTCTGTTTCAAGAGTTGGCTGTACTCCCATTGTCATGTGATTTGTATTGACAGATTTTTATTACTTTTTAAGTGTGATTATGGATGATGATGTTTGAATACATTCTTATTTACAGATGAATATCATTGCATGCATCTGTAATTTCATACCCAGTTCTACATCATAATTTTGTATTATTTTACTAATTTCATTTTGTACCATTAACAACAAATTTTAACATGCAGTTACTAAATCATAATGTTCAAACTGCTCCGATACCTAATAGCTCAGTGATCTTAAGATTGTAATTGAAAATGAGTTGTTTCCTGATGTCAGCCACGGTGTATAATATATATTTAATAAATACATTGTAATGTAATTTATATAAAATTACAGTACATAATTAAGATTAATTTTTGATACATTGTCAAGGAAAGAAATGTCAGTACATCCCAACAATTTTTGATTTGTCATCATATTTTATATAGGATGACATTTAAAAAGTCCTATTTTCTGTAGGGGTTTGGCCATATCTGACTTTTTGTCAGCTGTTTCAGCTTTTTGTTGAGCACTCTTATTTTAAAACATGCTTTGCAGTGCAAGAATCATAATAATATGAAAAGTGGTTCTATCTGAAAGTAGTTATTAGCATGGATAACTTATAAAACTTCACTTTATGCACAAATAAAACTAGTTTTGATTCAGATTATTGGTTTGTGATTTCCTGTACTAATGTAGGCATTGTCATACCTGAAGCGTTTTTAATATGGAGTTAAATTTTAGGGCAGCTCGTGTAGTGCTAAAAAGGGCATTGAAGAAAGTTTTCTCTACATACTTTTTTTACTCCTGCTGATCATGATTCTGTTTGTAGAATAGGCTGTCTGAGGCTGCAGTGCCAAGAACGTTTTGTTTAATACGTTATAGTCCATCAGTTAGTCACAATTTTACATTTTCATAATTTTGGTTGATATGTCATAAAATTATTAAAACAGTGTATCTGTGGCAAGTAATGGTGGTTTGATAATGGTGTAGAATTCATGCTGTGTTGTTGAAGAATCCTGTTTTCAAATCACCACCATGAATTACCACTGAGATTGTTCATTTTCTTGTTCTATACTTTAATAAGATAAGTGATTATGCATTAATTATTATGTTTAATTTAGTGAGAAAGAAATTAGATGATTGGGTATTTAAGTTTTATGTGTGTGTGTGTAAACGTTGTAAAACTAACCCTCATATAATATATAGTTACTTTATTTTACTATTATACACATATTTGACAATAAAGTAGGTAAAGTTATTGCATGCCTAAATGCCTTATCACAAATACATATAAGGGGAATGGAGGTAAATAACCACACATTCTTAGCTTTGGCACTAGGTGGAGGTGAGTGTCCAGCTTCATGCTCTGATCCCATTGCCCATGGGTAGATCCTGTCGTACAGTTGTACACTTTGGCTTCAGATGCATTGTAGTTAATTGTTTTTTACATCTGATGAAGTTATTGTGAAATAACGAGGTGGTTTTGTTCTGCTGGGCTATGTGTACATTGTGTTATACACCGTGGCCTTGATTTTGAGCTTGTAAATGAATGTAATTGGACTCTGTTAAACCATTGCACAGGAAAATCTGATACTGTTGTGTGTGGTTTAGAGACTTCTATACCATCCAGTTTACTGATGTAACAAGACTTCAGAGAACTGTCACGTTATGTACTTGTACATTCTTTTAAGACTGCTACTTGATGTGTTGGCCATATTAATTTTTCCTCGGGATTCTTGGTGCAGCTGTGAGATTTGGAAATGTGAGTATTTAAAAACTGTGCAAGTAATATTTTTTGAAGAAAATTTCTAATAATTATTCATATTTTTTCTAATATGTTCAGTATCTATTAAATATTATAGCAAAGTATCTCTGTGTTTAACTTGATTTTGTTGGCTAAGAATTTTAATACATGGTCTGTCTGATTTCAGCATTGCTATTTATAGCAGAATAATACCAGGCCCTTACAGACCACTTGGCTAATACATTTAAACCAGTCTGGTAGATTTAGACTTACATGAAATAATATATAATTTATCTGTACAATTTATTGCAAAGACATTCCTTCCATACGAACTGAAGCTGTCCAAGTGTCTGTAGCTTCTTTAATGTGCTACTCTTTCTTTTATGGACTGATGTTATTCTTACAAATATGCTACATGAGAAAAGTTACAGTACAATTGTTTTCTGTTGTCTGAGGTTTATTTCAATAAACAGTATTTTGGAAATTGTGTACACTACCATTTACATGGTGTCAAGTTATATCATGATTACTATCACTAATCTAGGAAGAAAAAAATCAGTGTTATGATAACAATTTCATTGAGAGTGGAAACATTTTGTATGTCAAATATACCTCAAACAATGGGCAATTTCTGACTTACTTTGGTGTAGTGAAGTAACCATCGTCACAGATGTTTTATGAAACATAAGTAAAATAGTATAACTTTTGGCTTTGTGAGAGTGTGTAAGATCTTCCAGTACAAAGAGATATCCCTAGCTGGTATTGATTTCAGTAATTCTATTAATACCAAAGTTAGCATATTGATTTGTTTTCAGTCCAGGTATTTTTTGTGTTCTAAACCGATCCAAAAAGATGTTATTTTGCCCTTGGTAATGAACGTTGATCTGCAAATTATAGTTTTGTGTGAAAATATATGTGGCCTACTTCAGGGTACGAAGCAGCATTTGAATAGTTACCATGTGATTCAAACCATGGACTTCCCAGTTAAGAGAAGTGTGCTAAATATAAGCTGCTGTGTTTATCCAACAAATTTATGCACCGTGTAGTGTAGGACTTTTCACATTTTCTTGATTTTCATGTTTTATTTTAGATTTTTCAAAGACATTATTTATCATAACTTGGAATTTTAATGCATGTTACGTACATGCAGAGATAAGGAAATACTTGAGAGGATAGCCGGTGTTCAGTCCCCTGATGTATTTTGATGGTCAGATTTATGCAGGTTAAAGTATTTCCATTCACTTTTTTGAGTGGTCCTTGAAGGTTAGTGGAAGTAATTTCTGTTGACATTCACCATAAATAATGTCTGAGAGGTTACGTATATTTTCTGGTTGCATAACATTGTTATTAATTATGATACACGAAAAAATCCGTAACTTTTACTTAATTTTGTACAACATATTTTAAATAAACTAACAGTCTTATGCAGACATTTGCTATTTGTGAAATGACAAATATATTTATATTTGTCTGGTCTTGTTGAGTAAAATTAACTTGAAAACATTCCATCCAAGAGCATTTATTCAGTGTTTAAGTAGTATTACTTTTTATTATTATATGACTGTATTATTTTGACTTATTATCAGAATGTTAGTCATCCATTATACTTGTGAAAAGTGTGCAGAATTTACAAGACAGACATTTTGTAGGTTCTTAAATGAACTGAATTACGACAAAGGCTGTACTTCAAATGATGTGTATGTATATATATATATAAAAGAGAGAGTGAGAGATAGAACATTACTAACATAGAGAATTTAATATTCAAATCAACAAAACAATACATCGATTTTTACTCAAGTCTTCTGAAGTTCTGAGGACATAATTATATTCAGTGGCTCAAGGATGATTTGTTAATGAAGTTTGCTGCTTTAAAAGTATGCACACTGTATAATTATAGGAATTTACACAATTGTGCTCATGCAAGTATACTGTTGAACGTATACTCGTATTGATTTATTGCTTCCTTGTCTCGGGCTCCACATTGTAAGTACTAACATAATAGTTTATTGGATGCCTCGGAGGTAAAAATACATTTTTACGACAAAACTTGGAATTTTTATCATACATTAGTTTATGTTCTATGTAGCAACGGAGTCTTATGACCTAGTGTTGTCAGTGTCTAGCAAATGTAATTTATTTATTTTTCTTATGTTATAATCTTCTTGATAGGCACTGTATAATGAATCTTTGGTTGAAACACTAAGCTTGAAACTTTAATTTTTTAAATTAATTCTTCCCTGGCCATAGACAGTTTTTTTTAAAATATTTTTTGCTAGATACAGTGGGACCTTGATTCTTTGAGCTTCTATGAACCAGGCAGCAGTGTAATGGTACCACCATTTCATGGAATCATACCAGTGAATGATTGAAATGGTCATGTAAGATGGTATGGCATGCATATGCATCCAAAATCTACTTGTTCACTAGCCCATCCCTTCTTGGATGAAGACTTCTTTTTGTTGTTGTGCAGTCAACATGCTAAAGAAATTATTATTAATAGGCCTATTTTACAATGTAATTTTTATTGCAGTTACTGTAGGCATCAACTTATCCAAAACCAATCAGTGTCACTGGTGGTTAGCACTCGTGCTTCATATTCAGATTGTGCTGTGTTAAAATCTTGGCCTGGAAACCAGCTATCCTTATTCTGGTACTGATGGCGTTAAATGAACTAAAAGAAAATTCATCCCAAACCCATGTTAAAGAAAATTGCCAAGGCAGTCATATATGATCCTGTAAGCATGAATAATTAAGGTCCCAACAAGAACTTATGACTTAGAAGCATTGGTCACAGAAGACTTCATACCTACTGGTATATAATATAAATATTTTGTACTTGTGTTGAGACTGAAATCTAGGTAGTTATTTATATCTTTGGTATCCTTGTTAAATATCACAGAACAATTGCTTGTTTATTACTGTAAATCTTCCTTTTGATCAAGAGTGTAATTTAGCTATATGGAACGTTTGTGTAATTTTTAGGCATTTATTTTGAAATCTTTGAATTAGTTATAGCGTAACAAAAGACGGAGCATGGACCAAGTAACTTGACACAAATTAAGCATTGGTTCCATAATTGTACTGTGTAGAAAGTCAAGAAACAGTTACATGTGTTAGGAAGTATGATTCTAATCACTTCCAGGTGTTAAGAAAGTTAACAAATTCCATAGTAACTTAATCATGTTTATAGTATTCTTAATTGATTATAGTTTCTTAGAATTGCTTTGTAGATCTTGCATTATGGCACACATGGGGCAAACATTGTTTGCTTTAATTGTACAGAATGCCTCTTATGAGCAACATGTTATTATTAATGAAAATGGAAGAAGCTATAAAATGTTCAGTCTTCAAACAGCTGGTGGAAAGTTTCCCTACCCTGGCTTGACAGGCTGCTTCTGCATAATTATATTTTCCTTTTAAAAGACAATTAAAAATTGGTATATAATGTATGTTTTTGATTGCCTTTTCATTTTGGTGAGTGTTGTTTCTGTTTTTCCTAGAATGAGTTGGGTTTATCTGTTTGGTTGTGTGGACCTATCACGAAAAAAGTGTTACTTTTGTAAGGTTTGCAAAATAATTGTGAGGAATTGAGATGTTTTATACATTCCCGTGATTGGATCAAGAAATACCCTTACCAATTGTTTTACCTGTTTACTGCTTGTAATGAAAGTGCTGTCCTTTCCCAGTTTGATTGTTGGTTTGGTGTTTTTGTTATTTTAATTGTTGTTTAACATGTCTGATGCATTTAATTTTAACACATTTTAACTGCCCAAGCTTGTTTCATGTGTATATAGAATTGAATGAAAATGTTGAAAAATACTTTTCTCCTCAATCATGGGTTGACTAAAAGTATGTAAATAGCCGAAAGATGGAGAAAATTATCAAGAATTGAAAGTTATTGATTGATGTGACTTGGTTAAAAGGTGAAATTGATTGGAACGCTGAGGAATAAATAGTATAGGTTGGTAAGTAGTTCGTTTAATTATAGGTTGAGCCATCGGCACCACAATGGCCTTTTACCAATCCTCCGTGGATAGATGGCAGCATCGTGTGACGCCCTTAAGCAGCCAATGGCATTGGGCTGCATATTTGCGCCATAATCATCAAGGAAGTCGTGAACCGTCATGTTCGGTTATGTTGGCAATGCGTGGCCATGTTGATCCTGTTTTGATTCAGTTGACATTTGCACACGTGTATGAATGGTTGTTTTTTGTGAACTCGGAAAAGTTATACTGTTTAGAGTCGAAACATCGTTTTCAATAATAACGTATCTGTTCAGCATGAGAGAACAAGATTAACTCCTGTACACGGGATGTGTTGTCAGCCTCAACGACACTAAGGTAAGTGTTGGTCTAATATTTAATATTCTTTGATAATGTTTACTGTTATTCCTATTTACACATTCTATAGGTTAGAACCAGAAAAATATAGTAATACGGCCACTGTTTAATTTGTGCTTAAACTAGTGATGTCTGTGTGCGGAAGTGATTGAAATAATGATGGTATTCTTAAACTTCTTTATCATATGAAGATGACTTGTCTTCTGAATGTTTCACCGTCTTGTCCAGTAGAAGTTTCAGAAGTGCTTGGTGCCTCCATTATCACGACGAGTAAATCTAACTCAGCTTACTCATTGCCCTGAAGATGGAGGCAGCAAGCGCCTCTGAAACAACGGTAAACTTCCTCTTACTGTGTGTGGAACACCTTTATTTCGGCAACCGTGTATATTTGTTGCTGACTTGACGTTTATTTACAGATACTAGTTACAAGTCTAACATTATTTAAAATTTCCGAATCCCCGTTACCTGTCACTACAATTTGTGTATTATTTACGACTTTGCGTCCTTATATAAGCCGTTCTAACTTACCTAACATAACCGTTCACCGTCTTATTTGAATTCCAGTCAAGAAGGAAATATGTCCCACTTTATACCACGCCAAAAGCCATATTAGACGAAAATAAAATGACGTTCGAAAATTTGAATATTAATTGTGGAATTTGTAGGAAGAGGGGATTCCAGCATGTGTCTCGGGTTTCCAGTTTCAAATCTGAAACGTTTGTGTTGCCATATGCCATTACACATGGTGCAATGGTTTTCAAACGCCCCGATCCGTATATAGTTTCAATGGGATATGGTAGTATATTTTCTAGATTTGATATCTTCTGTGTCCATGACAACTCTGTGGTACAGATCCCTTCTTGAGAAGATATGGAGCAGCATTCTGAGTTTCTTATCTGTATATAAACGATCAGCATATATTATGTAATTTTAAACAGTGTAATTACTAGTATAAATTACACGGAAGATGTAATTATGCGACTGAAATATCCATAATAAATGTTTGTTACCGCAGTACAGGAAGGCGGTAACTTATTGTAGGCCGACCCTATTTAACGCCAACCGGAAAGTGACAGAATAATTATCTAGTTTTCTGGGAAGCAGACTGTTATTTTCACATGCGCCGTCCCACTGCATTGCTACACAAAACAAGTTGTTATACAGGATGATTCAAAAGTACCTTTACACCAGAAAGAACTCAAATATATTCCTCGTAGCTAACTTCCTGTTACAACTAATTACAAGATGTGTCGATGAAAGGCATAATCACGTGACTCACACGTCACGAGTGCCACATACGGCACGTGTGCGCAGAGATTTTTGAATCATCCTATACTTGCTTTAAACCCACTTGCCGATGGTGTAATGCATTTTAGACTAATATTTACAGCTACTAGAGAGGTGTTTGTTGTATTGCGATCTATTAAATTATGCCAAATGTTAAATAGATTCGGCTGTAGGGTAATTAAGAATGAGGAATGAATGGGTAAGGACTTGGAAGGAAGCAGTCAGTGTGTGTTTTAAGGTATTGGCTGATAATTTTCCTGGAAGGACGTACGAAAATTCTGAAAATCAACTTATTACAGTCAAGGTTAGTCTATCAACAGCAATAGAATGTATCTATATGACGTAATTGTTGTTTAGAATGACCTGGAACAAGGAGTTAACGTAGGAGGATATTACCGTTGATTTTAGAACATGTCATTAAGACAACCAAGATTGGTATTGTATGGAACATATCGACTCGTGGTTTATGCCGATGATGTTAATTTATTACGCTAAAATGTAAAGTTGGCTTGCCACGAAGAACATACTCTACTTTAGAAACTAATAGCTCTTATTGAAGTAAATACAATCGTAAACCAGGTACGAAATTGTTTACGGTGTGGCAATTCTGGTGCCTCCAAGATTTAATATTTGAACATTGTAACGATGAAGACAAGACTCGGGGATTCCCCACAAGGTATCGTGGGCACCTGCCTATTTTACAACTTTTAGTTGTGAACGCACTTAAGAAACGGTGTAGCTCAGCTGATGGACGTTGCCCAGTGTAATAAACCTGAGTTGGGTAACATTTATTTTGTAGGGATGGGTGAGGTGTCCGTACCTAGGCCTCGTGGTCCGGGAGGCCTTCCTTCTCTGACGCGCTCTGCCCCTGATCTGCCACAACTCACAGACAAAGAACAGCAACTGATCATGGAGGTTCTGCACAGGGACGAGCAGCTTCGACGTCAGGACAACATAAGAATAATGTAAGTGGGACACCCTGCCAGCTTGTACGCTTCTCGCTTTGACATTTTCCCCAGCATTATCTCACACATTAAAATCTATGGTAGAAGGTATACTTTCTTTCGTCATGTTTTTTTAAAAATTTTTTTAATCTACTAAACTCGCGGACCCCCGGCTGAGAAACTGTTGTGGAGCTGTTTGAGATTTGCGTAGAGGAAAGAAGAGGATAAATGGGGGGGGGGGGGCAGGAGGCTTGAGGTTTTGTGCTACAGAAATTTGGAGCACGAACATTCCATGATTACAAACTGGCTGACATAAAAATAAAAAGTTATTCGTGCATGAATTGTGATTTAGTGTATTTAACCCTTTGAAACCGAAGCTCATATAAATAGTTTTTAAACATTTAGTTTCTACATCAAAGAAAGCACAATATATTTTATTTGCAAAGCTCAGATGGTTATTGTTTATTTTGAGAATCATACGTAACCTGTGATTACACTGTGTGGGTAAAGCTCAGAATTTGTTTGTTAAAGCCTGTGGTACGTATAGTTACCGCTGTAGTTTAAAGTGTTAATATGCCCCGACAATTTTTTCTCTCTCCATATTTATGTCTATTTATCGTTCAAAATCGTCGATACGTAGGCCTAATCTGTGCAGCTGAATTAGCGTTGTTGTATAACCAAAGACTGAATCAGCAATCACAGACAACAAGCTGTGATGCTGTATCAGTAGAATGGCTGGCTGGTTTTGGTCTGAACTCTTGTCGCAGAAGACGGCCGCCTTAGAACCAAGAGTCAATCAATCAATCAATCAATCAATCCATCCATCCTCACTGCACTGTAACTCACACTTTGTTCTGGCCCGTGAAGACTGAGAATACTATACTAGGGTTTACGTATATTTGTACACCCCCTGTTCTAGACATCCGGATGTTCTTCTCCTTTCTTACTGTCCACAAAAAACTTGTTCTAGGTGCAAGCTTGTCGTATTTTATATCAATGCGTAGCCTTTCACCTTGAACGGACTTACAGGAAAATCTCTTCTGATCGATCTGGCGATTTTCGAGCTGTCACATCGCCTTTAATAAACGCAGTCTACTCGCATTGCCATTGGTCTGAATTTTCTTTCCGATTTAGTGATCTTACATATTTAGTGCGTTAAATGTAAACATTCATTTGAGTCATTATATAAGTACAAGTCTTGCAGGGGCTAATTTTAATATTTTGTTACGAAATTCCAATAAACCCATTAGAAACATATAGCATTATACTTCGTGGAAGGCAAGTTCCAATCCAGTATCCATCCGACCAGCTGGATTAAGTAGTTGGTCTCTGATGCGTTGCAGCAGGGATGTCTACAACGTATTGGAGGTAACTGTACGGTGCACGACGTCTGGCCGTGGTAAAAGAGGCAAAGAACTTGCTGTGTAGTGTTTGAAACCTGTCTTGAGTTTCAGTGGCCTCTGCCAAGTAGTCACCCTCTTCAAACAAACAAGCCTACGTCACATTTTGAAGAGCCGGGTTCGACACCCCCTTTTCAAGTCTGTCATCCCGATATATGAAATTATCATTTAGGGAGATCGACTATCTTGACTGAGATTTTCATTATGTTTTCAGCCCCTACAGGCAAATCCCAGGTAGTGATTTAGAAAGATATCAGTTCCTTTCTCCTGCTTTTTTTATTATATTATTTTTGTGTGATCTGTTACGTAGTTTCTTATTTGAAGTTACACAACATTTACAGCTGATTTAGCGGCATTGAGAAACAAAGGATGTCATTTCGGCTAAAAGCCATGTTAACGAATACTAGCGTTTAAAGATTCTGGTTGATACTACGCTCGTGTTTGTGAGATACAAAGTTCTGATCTCGGCTTGATATTC